AAGCGACAGTATCAATTAAATAAGTTGTCTAATAATATATATTAGTCAGAATCAGTAAGATTAGGTTAACCACCATAATTCGGTAAAATACAAAAGCGACCGCTGATTGCCCATAGACATCCCCATTTGCAGATTTGTTGCCTACCTTTAAAAGGGAACTCACAGAAAAAGGATCTTAGTTAGATGTCAAGTTGTGAAGTTTCCTTAAACTTTTTTTTTTATCTAAATCACATGATTAAAATGCGGCTTATCAAATGCAAAAACAACTGCAATCAATTAAGTAATATTTAGGTCGATGGAATTTATATCACTGATTGATATCGTATGATATCAGAGATCGGAGTTCAAAATTGTTTCATCTTTATCATCCCATTAGCTTACTATTATCATTTAGTTTTCTTCTATTATTAAAAAAAAATCTCTTGCTCGAAAATTTTAAAAATTAAAACAATTGAGTAAATAAACCCGAAATTAATGGTTTTGAAAACTAGTTAATTCAATTTTATGAAAATCAAAGATATCTAAAACTAAATATACTTTTAACTAGCTGTTCCCCTGCGGTTTCATTCGCATGGAATTTTAAAAACTTTATTTTATTGTATACATTTGTCAAATTATCAATAGCAAATGTCAAAATTATATGACATAACAAATCTTAACAGTCTTGCTTCCTTGATGTTGGCAACAACTTATGGTCTCTTTCCCACATTAGGGTTTTTATCCAAAATATTTACTCCCTAAGTTTAATGGCGTGAAAGTATATAGCCTAAAGCGTGAAGTAAGTGTAGGGCATTTTATTAGAAATAAGAATTATTCAAAAATATGCTGTAATTGCTGACATCTTAGGTAACAAAAGTGTGTGTTTACGCTTTATTATAATAGTATAGATAGTATAGATGAAATAGCTCATTTACAAACCACCGTAAATAACAATTAAATTTAAGATCTATGAAAACATGAATTTCTAAAAGAAACGAATGAAAGCGCTGTAATAATTTTATATTGAATTCGAGTCTAACAATTGAAAGTTTATTCAGACTTTGAACTACAAAAGTTAACAATCTTTGATTTTCCTCCTTGATACAATACACATACAACTTTAATACATAATACATACCTTATCCGCTCCTCTTTCAATCACAAATACAGCGAATTATAAAAATATATAACAATATAAAATAAATCGCGGACAACAGATTATTGCAAATCCGCGTGATAAATTCGAAAGTGCTTTCCGTGTTATTGTAACGAAATAATTATAAAAATGTGTTACGAAACTTATAAATACTGTATCAGATGATAAACATACTTATCGACTGTTTATTGATATGGATAAATCTTTTCCTATCATAAAAAGTACTTTCTATAATCTTGAAATTTTATAACAAATATAAAATTACGAATTGGATTTAGTTTATGGGGTCGTCGATGAATGACATACATTATTTTATTGAAATAACAAACACTGAAGTTCTAATTCATCATCAACAGCTCACTACGTCCCCACCGAGGGGCTCGGAGCCTACCCCAAGTTAGGATGACTAGGCCATAGTTAACCACGCTGCACTGCGGATTGGTTGACTTCACACATATCTTTGAATTTCTTCGCCGATATGTACAGGTTGCATCACGATGTTTTCCTTCATCGTAAGAACGTCTGGTAAAAATTATGTACATATGGAAATACGGAAAATCAAAAATTAATTGGTACATGGCGGGATAATAATTTAAGAATTTCTAATTAATAATAAGCAATGTAAAGTATTTTTTTACATGAGGAACAAGAAATCCTGTAAAATTTGCAATTGCGGTATCCATGCGCGTAGTAGCTAAAATACCTGTATAGTTTACCTAAGAAAAAATTGCAGACGCACATGATAACCTGCTCATACCGTGATTGCAACAATTCATATAATTAAAACGTCACGAAACGTCGAAAATTATTGCATAACAAGACGAAAGTCTTAAGAGTCATATGTTAATATAAACTATTGTATTTCCAGGATCCTTTGCAACACTCGGAAGTGCTTCTTCCCCAAGAGAAGTTACAAAACGGGGAGACAGTTATTACAACAAAGGAAGATGATTTTGATGATTCAGAGACCTCAGAATTCAATTGCAATCATCTGAGCTTCGGTTAGTATTCTTATTTTGCATAAACCTTACATAATTATATGATGTTATATGTTTAGCAATTAATTGGTATAACAGAGTTAAGAAGTATTATAATATTCAAATCTGACTCGAAGGACCAAAAGTTAAGTTTGAATTTCTTCGCTACGATAATAAACAACGTTCAAATTACTTAATCAAATTATGATTTTCCGACTGTACATAAATTATAGTCATCATCTTCCCTATCTTATCCGACTCATGTAGGGTCGGCGCACCGGGTTTTCTGCTTCCAAATAACCATCATACGCTATCTCAGTCATCACTCCCTTCTTCGTGTAACCTTTTACACAATCCATCCATATCTTTCTATGTCTACCTCTACCGGTGTATCCATACTCATAACTAGCGTCCTTCTTGTTACAAGCAATAAATTATAGTGTGTTTCTTTAATTTCAATTATTTTTAGGAGATGCGATATTTGCCATGTTTCTAGTGGCTCCTCTTGTGGTGGGCATGTGGCGTAGTACGTGGGGCATCATGGAACTGCACCGGAACATGTTCCCCAACGTGCAGATCTACCTCCTCGGTATGCTGATACATATATCTTTTGCGTTGGTCAGGTTTGTATCTTGGATTATTCTAAAGTGCTTTATAATTCATGTACTTACTAGCTTTCGGCCGCGACTTCGAATAGAATTAAAAAAAAAAACAGAAGTGTTAAGTACGTAAACAAATTTCATCGAGATCCGTTCAGCCGTGGCGACATACTCCAGCAAACATCCATCTAAACTTTCTCATTTATAATATTAGTTAGATTAGATTTGACTTAGAAAAATTAACCTTAATAAATCGTTTCCGGTAACGTAATTATGCACCTATTGGCTAATCTATCGCTTTATGTATACTTATATAAATAAATAAATAAAACCTCTGATAACAAACTTAAAAAAACTGGAAATATAGGAATAGTAAAATTTTATCGACAAAGTAAAGCCACTTCTACCGTTTGATTTAATAAGTGTAAAATAAAACAAGTGTGGTTTTTTAATATTCATTGTAAACTTTGGGCTATAAGATTGGAGATTGTTATCCTTTCAATACCTAATTAATTAATTATTAATCATCTCTTAAGTTTTATATAAATACTTTCCAATCAAGATAATATCTTCCGATTTCAATCTGAGTCTGAAAATAACTTCAATATCATAAAATTAGGGATTTTTTTCAATAGTATGTTTTCGATTTTTATCATTAAAATGGGTCTTGCAGTGATTATTACTTAAAATATAAAGTGATAAACATTTCGACTATGATAAGTCTGCGCAGACAGGGGATTTTTTTTTGTAGAACATTCAAGGATATCAGATTTATTAGTGTCGATAAATTGACAAAAATAGGTGATTTTTTTTATTTGAAACGAGGTTGAGGTTCAGTAGTTTTATGACTTTATTAGTTGTACAATGTTATAAATTAAGTAGATACTTATGTTTTTTTACGCGACAAGCACGTAACATACTCTAATCTATATCTATACTATTATAATAAAGCGTAAACACACACTTCTTTGTTGCCTAAGATGTCAGCAATTACAGCATTTTTTTGAATAATTATTTTTTTAATAAAAAGCCCTACACTTACGTCACGCATTAGGCTATCTATTTTCACGCCATTAAACTTAGGGGGTAAATATTTTGGATAAAAACCCTAATGTGGGAAAGAGACCATAAGTTGCTGCCAACATCAAGGAAGCAAGGTTACCATGGTTTGTCATGATGTCATGTCACTTTGACATATGCAATTAATAATTTGACACATGTAAACAATAAAATAAAATTTTCATAATTTTATGCGGATGAAGTCGCACGGGAACAGCTAGTTCTCTTAAGAAACACAATATCCTTTTGTAACTTTAATTCGTACACAACAAAAATAATTTTAATCGCATCGGATATCTTGGTTTCTTTTTACTTTTTTGTTTACTTTCAATAAAGTACATTTTTATATAATAACCAGCCTTCATCGGCGAGTCCGTTCGCGTGGAATTAAAAACAAAGCCTACATCTATGCCAAATTTCATATAGATCTGTTCAGCCACTTAGGCTACAAACTTTAACAAACATCCATCCATCCATCTAAACCATCGCTTTTATAATATTGGTTAGACTAGTAGGATTTATATTTGTTTTTAAAAAAATTACATCAATATTATCTACTGATTGATATTGATTGCACAATGCAATCACATGTAATCATAGCACAAAAGTACAAAAACAGTCTAGAGATCAAAGGATAAATTATTACTTGGAAATGAAAATACTGAGATATCATAGATTAGATACTAACCAGACTACCACTGACAATCTAAAGCAGAAAATCTTGCGACCATTGACGCATTTATCTTCAGTACTCAGAAATGTCACTTATTTGTCTACTTATGTATAAACAATCAAATCTTGAACAAACGTTACCGCGTTAAAAAAATTACGTAGTTCATATAACCTACTATCGTTTAACTAAACGATTTTTGACATATTAAATAAAACGAGGGTTACCAAACTTTGTCTAAGAATATCTTAAATATTTTATCTGCAACTAGATGCAATAGAGTGCATTTTTTATCTAAAACAAACATCTTCAAGTGACGTCATCTATTTGTTTATTGTTAAGATTCCTAACACTGCAGAATCTAGTAATGTTTAACTTTTAAAAAAATATTGCAAATTCATAATTAATTCGCTTAAAAGAAAATCTTTGATCTAAGAAGGATTTCTTTTCAAATCAACTACTTAATATTGTTAATTCTATGTTGCTATTTTTTTACATAACATTTAACATGTATTTGCAACCGACATGAACGCATTACAAAATAAATAAATCACACCAAAAGTTCGATAATACGACGATAACCTAAAATAACAGAACGACTCGATTCCTTTGTCTCGTTATAAAAAATACAAATGTTACGTAAATAAGTACAATAATAACAAAATGATAAATTAAATAAATCTAAATATACACAAAATCAAAAGTAAATATTAGCGAGTGCACAGAAAGGACAGAAGTCATCAAACTAAAATCCGCACACAAGTTGCGATTTGCCTTTCCTTTGTGCATCTTCGGAAAATTACTGGAACGATCACGTACAATATACCAATTGAAGGATCAATTGAAGCCCTATGTTACTTTCATTGTAACAAGCGCTTTTAAGGGCCTGTCCCACCACTAGCTGATAGAGGCTCAGATAGCTTAAAAATTACGACACTGTCAGATAAGGGAACAAAATCCGATATTTCCATCACATATTTTACCTTGGATTGTTATCAGACAATTTACAATTTGGTGAGACAGGCCCTTATACTTTTAAACTTCAAAAAGAAATAATAATAATTGAGTATTTATCTGAAATTATTCATATTCCATTTTTTTGTAGCTATAATCGATTTTATGAGTTTGTTTTGTTCCAAAACTAAGCTTTCACTGGGGAAAGACTCGAACAAAAACTCATCTCAACTACTTACTATCTTCTTTCTTACTAATATTATAAATGCGAAAGTTTAGATGGATGTTTGTTAGAGTTTGTAGCCTAAACCGCTAAACGGATCTCGATGAAATTAATCATAGACATGGAAGATAATCTAGAAAAATACATTCATACAAATATATACTCTTTTGTTTTTTTTTTTTAATTCTACGCGGACCAAGTCGCCCGAAAGCTAGTAATTAATAAATCTATAAACATATTTCAGGTCCTATTTATTATCAAGATCACGATCAACAAAAGAGAATAAACCGAAATTCCACTGGATTAGAGAACGAGTGTTGTCTAGGGTCTACGGTTATATCTTCATCTTGTCTTGTATAATGCATTGGCGCGGCGGCTGGGGAATATTCGACATGCTCGTAGCTGCTGTAATACCTGAAGAGAATGACCCTCACAGGTAATCTATATCTTCTATCTATACAGATAATAAAATTGGAATGTCTGTCTGAAAAATGAAAAAATCCACATTTCCCGAAGATGGTGTATTGGCGTTGCTGATTACGAAAATTGCATTTAATTTTTTTTTTGTCTGCCTGTCTGTCCGCAAGCCGCGTTTCTTCCGGGTAATATCCGAAACGGCAGGGACGAGTTCGACGGGACTTTCACTGAAGGGTGCCTGTCATAGACCCGCATATAAAGGCTACTTTTGTAAAAATCTGCGATGTTCAAATGTCGGGCTTTCTATCTCTAGAACGGGTGGACAAATTTTTACAGAACATTGACTAGAAAGTAGTTGGTACAAAGAAGATGCACGCGGAATGTTATATGAGACCATTTTTTTAATTACGCGCTAAGGTAGTTTGCGACGTATCGTTTATACTTCAAGTAGATTACAACCTAGTGATAGCTAAAATAGTACTAAATCACTATATACATCTTTAACATGCTAAAATTGGATTGTATTGTCTATAATTGAACAGAAGAGGAGGTACAGAATAAAGACTATCTTCTCCGCCTTTCCTTTTCCTTATAGAAAAAGGATGGGAAGAGTAGTACTATAATTGGATCTCCGCTTTTTTCTTTATCAGACTCGCATACTCTTTTCTTCAAATCCCAAGCTAGAAAGGTTGAAAGTTTTAATAAAGGTCTTGTTTGATATTTCCAGGCCTGTGTTGATAGGAGCACTGACTTTGTTTATGTACGCGAGTACTGCCGCAGTTCGCGCCGCGAGGAACCTCCTCGCGAGTCCATATTTCCTCGTCACTGACGGAAAGGAAGCCACGTACCAGTTCGACACCAGATTCCGGAGACAAGTAAGTGTTAAAATTCTCGTTTGGGCTAAAATTTCAGTTATTTTTGTTTGAAATTTTATGTGAATGTCTTTTTTTGACTTCAATAAGTGGATACGTGGTCTTTTATCTTGTTTCGTTGTTTTAATCACATTAAAGGTAAAAGATACAAAAGCCGCTAGTGAACCAGTAATTCATAGTTTTATATTTGAAGAAAATTGCGTTTTAATGACACTAAACTGTCTATACCTGGTACATTTACCTTTTAAAACGCTAAGTTTACTAGTGAGATGAAAAGTGCGATGTGTGTGTCTGTACATACAGTGATAACTTTGTCCATTAAATACTTTCGTGATTGAAATTTAATGCAATATTGCTGAGATTCCTCTGGATATGATTTGACCGGAGCACACAAATAGCTCGAACGAGTCCGCACTGAGCACCGGTCAGTACATCGGGCCCGTGCTAGGGAACATAAGTAGCCGCTTCCTACCGCGCCGCCGCTTACACCGGATCGCCTCGCCTTGACCCTCCACACACAGCATCTGCTAAGGGAACTACTAATCATAATGCGGAATAGAACTTCATAATTTATAACTTATCTTAATAACAAATTACAAATTATGACAAAGGAGGAAAAAATTAAAATAGGAACTGATTTCACACCAGTAAACAGACACATATCTTTTCAAAGAATCGAATCGCACCTCCATGCAGATTAAGGTAGCCAAATAATGCGATTATATCAAACACGA